TCACGTGATATATAGTGGGACAGTATGTGCGTAATTGACTTTTAAATATCAATATTATTTTGGCTTAATTTAGACGATCTGAGGATATTAATATTTTTTTTCTTGGCAAAGTGGAATCGCGTGAATTGGTGGGGAGGTAAAGTTAGTTAGAAGCATGACGTATGGTCTTTATTTCATAAAAATCGCATAAAAATAAAAAATTGGGAGCCCAGTGCCCCCCTTTATTATTATAAAAAATTATATTGCCGGGACGGGACGACAATATACGAATAAAAAATATATATATCGCTGTTACAGGTGCGAATACATATAAAAAAAAAATTAATTTTCATAAACAAGGATATAGATGTGATTTCCTAGTCTATTAATATCAAAATATTGTGAAACCATATTTTGCGGATCCATATATTTTCTAACATCTCGAGCGGTATCATTTACGTAGAGATCAAAATCGGTAAAAGGAACGTTATTTCTAATCATATTTTTAAGGTTGGCGACTGTCGTATTTGGGAGAATATTAATTGAATAATCACTGCTGACACGATAATTTAAAGTAATATCCGCCATTTTTGCTTTCTAACATAAAAATAAATAGTAAGTAGAAATTCGCTTTCGAAAAAAAATATATAACAAACAATGTATGTTAACCAGACCTTGAAAGTAAATTTTAAATAAGTTAAGCCAAAAAAATATATAAGAGCAACGTTATTGCTAACTTACCTTGTGAGCAAATCTGCTTATTTTTATACCTCATATTTGTTAGGTCTGAGAACCTGCCAGAAAGAAAATGCACGTTTAGTAATTACGATGCCCAAGTCTAATGCCAGTTTTTTTCTCTATAAAGCAACTCCACTCGGTCATAACTTCCAAACACTGAATCTATTCTGTTATTTTTTCTGGTGAAATTAACTTCCTTATAATCGATGATCGTTTAAAGTGGGTTTAGATCTAACGATCTCGGAGATGGCAGAGATTCGAAGTCCCTGTAACATATGAATTTTGATAAAAGTACTGATTAAGAACATTATACTTATTGCCCTTATAGCCTTTTTAAGTCTCATTCTTATCATGGGTTCGTATAAAGTAAGGAAAAGGGTCTAGACATTATTCGTATTATTCATAATATTCGTTAATAAAAAAAATCGCACTATGAGAAATAATTTTGCAGGAGAGTAACACCACATAAAATTTAATGCAGGCCATTGATTATTAAAGCCGGTCAAGTTTTTATTGCACATTCGAACTGAAAAACCTGAATATCAAGTGACGTGCGTCGCTATTGTTATCATCATTAAAATATAAAATCAGTTTATACTCTGACGGCTTCCAGAGGCCGTCAAGGATACAGAATTTATGCATAAATTATACGTGGGGACTCATGGGACTGCCAAATCATATGATACCCTTCAGCAGAGACAGTGCCTCTATGTAGATTTTCATTTAACATTACACAACTTACAAAATTTTTTTTTATATTTATTTAAAGTACTTTCAAACATCTTGTATTACTCGCTTTTGTAATAAGCTAAGTGCCAATAGTTTATTAAGTAAACTTGGAGCCTTCATAACATAGAAGCATATATTAGTTTAACCTCTCTTAATCCCGCAACCTTAAGTCTGCGATCCAAATGGAAAATAATAAGAAATGCGTAGATTGTAAGACTACTAGTTCCAAGAAATT